TAATCTTTACAATATACACATTAGAAATCTATGATAAGTCGAGAAGATATATTGTACAATAATTTGGGAGGAATTTTATTATTTTTAGTAATAAATGAATACAAATAAATTGTTTACGGATTATAATATATAAATAATATTAATAACATTTCATAGCAGACGAGATGAAGATTTTTTTTTCAATTGAAATTTTATGGTTTGATCTAATCTGATTTAGCCTGGTCTGAATTGGTCTGATTTTGTATTGTTCGATAGATTTCAGGTTTCTGAGTATTTTATAATTTTTCGAGGTCGAGTCTATTTTTTTTCTAGTCAGATTTGTTCAGGTCTGATCTTGTCTAGGGGTGGGCACGGTCCGGGACGGTTCGGGATTTGGCTAATCCCGATCCCGTCCTGGTTTTATAACAACGGTCCGGTTCGGTACGAGATAAGTCTTTATCCCAATGTTGTCCCGTTTAAAACGGGACCGGGACAACCCGAGAAAAACCGGGACGGTTCGGGATGTCCCATAAAATATGCATTTGTGAAATGTGATATAAAAATAAGCACAACATCAATATCAAGATGTAACTATTTTTGCAAATTTGGCTTCCCCAAAATGTTATGTAAAACCTTTAATTAACTATTTTTAATTTGTCTTGTAAATTTTTTTTGGTCCCCCTAATCTTGTGTTTCCTCTAGTAGAATAGTAGCGCAAAATATTTTTTATACTTTGTAGTACACTTGTAATTTTTAAATACGACATTAAATTAAATATCATATCTATAAAGACACTATATATATTTTCTAGTAGTTATTTTGGAAAATATTAAATCTATAACAACACTATAATTTGGAGTAGTAGTTATCCCATCATAAATAGTATTCCGCACGTAATAATATATTATGGATTAATATTGGAATGAGAAGTAAACAAATTTCAATCAAAAGAAACAAAAGAAATGAGACTAAGAGAGACATGAAATAAGATAAATTACACTAGGGAGACTAAGGACTAGATAGTTTTAATTGGATTTGACTATTACATAGCATTAGAAATTTAAAATAACATATTCATTTCAAACGGGACACCGGGACGGAACATGATATTTTATAGCTATCTCGGTCCCGTCCCGTTTAATATCGGTGCAGGACCGGTTCAGGATGAAAAAATTGCGTCCTAAATGGACCGGGATAGTTTCGGAACGGTATCGGGATTTTTCGGTTTGGAACACCAGGACCGGGATTTTTGCTCACCCCTAATCTTGTCTAAGACTAAAATAAGTCTAAGTAAAAACTTTTAAAACAAATCACGTCAGATCAGACAAAAATTGATTAGACCAAATTACATCACATAAAAAAAATTCACTCCAATTAAAAACATCCTAACTCTATAGTTCAACATTTAGTTAGTTAATTTGTCACATGTTTATTTAAGACATTTGCTCACAAAAAGTATAAACTTAATGAATTTAGCAAGAGAAAATTGTGGGGGTATTCTTTATATTTTCTCTTTATTAAAAAATATAAAAAATACACGAGAAGATAGAATGATGCATCAATGCACGAGAGTTGCAGGTAGCTAGGTCTATCAAACGATTGTTTCATTTATTTCTATGAACCAAAAAACCTATTTGGATAATAGACGTAGTCTTTTTTTGTTTTGGATAATTCTCAACCAAGCTTAAGTACTCCGTAAGTTCATCACCGTTAGAGAGGGGGAGAATGCCCTCTTTTGATGGAAAAAGGAGTTTTTTGCTCTAAAATTAAGTTTAAGGGCTTAGATAGGTAACTTCAAAGGGGATTTCAGGATTTGCCCCTTTTCCCTTGTTGGAGGTATTGGTCGTACCAAGGCCTCCCTTCCACTTTATTTGCTGAGGCTTACACCCTATTGTTTTACTCCCACTTTGGTACCTTTACCTTGGTATTTTATCTGATCAATAATATACCTGTTTGAGGGTTGACTTACCCACTTGGCTGGCCCCTTTGTGTTCTGTCCGCTGCGTCACTCTTGTCTTGACCTATACATGTGACTTTGCCTTGTCTTTGTAGCATGTGAGTGTTTGTTGTTTTGACCTCACCCGTGACTTCTCTTCTAGCTGGCAGCCTAATATTTCTACCCCTTGCTTCTCCCATTGTGAAGCAGCCTGCGTGAGTGTTGAGAGCAGTGTTCCCTTCTTCTTCTTTCCTTTGTGTGAGAGCTGAGAGAGGTCCTAAGTGGAGAGTCAAAACTAGAGTTGTGTTGTAGCTTCCTCCTAGAGTGGTGTGTGAGAGTGTGTGTTGAAATACCTGAGCCGGAGACGGAAGAATACGGTCCTTACAGTGGTATCAGAGCCTGGAACCGCCGTCTGCCGCCGCCGCCGCCGTCCGCCGCCGCCGTCGATTGGAGCTCGCCGAAGGGCCCTGGAGTTGCTGGTCGTTCACACGAGCTCGCTGACTTCCTACCTGGTCTCTGTTCGCTGAAATCGAACTCGCCGGAAGTTGAAGCCCCGCCATCGCCGCCTGGAACCGTCGCTCGTCGCAGGGAAGCTCACCGGAACTCGTCACTGGAGCTGCTGGTCGCCTGGGTGCTCTCCAGTCAACCCTCGTCAATTGGAGCCATCACCTGCGCAGAAGGCTGCTAGGAGCTGTTCGCCCGTCCGCTGGATCCGCCGGTTCGCATCTGGAGCGAGGAAGACGATGGACGAAGGGGGCTGGACGGGTGCGCACCTTTGAGATGGAGTGCTGACCTGCTGACTTTACAACGTACAATTGGCTTTTGGGCCTTTTCTTTTGGGCCGCTGGAGAAGTCTGCTGGTGCTATTTGGACTGCTAACTTGGTGAACTGCTGCTGGACTGGGACTGGGTCTGCTGGACTGCTGGAGCTAAGCTACTGGATTGTTGTTGGAGCTGAGTTGCTGACTTGGACCGCCGGTCAACGCCGGTCAACGCCGGTCAACGGCAGTCAACCCCTCTAGAAAAATCCCAATTTTTTAGTTGGGTAGGTAAGGTCGAAACGCTCTCCTAGAGTTTCGCGAAGGTAAGTTTTCTTTAAACTTCCTATTTGTAATATTTCGGTTTTAATTTAATTTAATTTATTCCCCCTCCCCGCGGGCCGCCGGTTGATTTAATCCCGGCCGCCAACCCCCCCAGGTACGTTCTAAACTCACTCCTTTGTGGCAGTTTGTTTTAGTTAATTAATTAAATTGCTTTGTGTTATTTAATTTAATTAAATATGCAAATGATAGAGATAACAGGAAGTCGACCACTTCTTATGTTTTTCACTTTGTGTGGCTCTTGCATTAGTTGGAAGTCTCAACTGCAGCCTATTGTGTCTCTTTCTACCACTGAGTCTGAGTATGTTGCAGCCACAGAAGCGTTTAAGGAAGCCATCTGGCTCAAACACATTGTCTCCGAAATTGGGTTTCTCAAAAAGGGAGTTACCATTTTCTCGGATAGCCAATCGGCTATCCAACTTTGCAAAAATCCTGTATTTCATGATAGAACTAAGCATATTGATGTTAGGTTCCATTTCATACGTGATATTGTTGATGCAGGTGGAGTCAAGCTGTGCAAGATCCCGTCGGAGTTTAACCCCGCGGATATGGGTACCAAGTGTCTTTCTGCTGAGAAGCACTTGTCCTGTAAACACGTGTTAAACTTTGACTGTGGATAACTGTGGGTTGCGTAATAAAGTGTTTGCCCGTTGTGTCTTTTGATATTCCGGGTGACCCGGCGATGATGAGTCTTGTCACAACCTTGTATTGTTACTCTACACCACCTAGGACCAATAAGGTGGAGAATGTTGGAGGTATTGGTCGTACCAAGGCCTCCCTTCCACTTTATTTGCTGAGGCTTACACCCTATTGTTTTACTCCCACTTTGGTACCTTTACCTTGGTATTTTATCTGATCAATAATATACCTGTTTGAGGGTTGACTTACCCACTTGGCTGGCCCCTTTGTGTTCTGTCCGCTGCGTCACTCTTGTCTTGACCTATACATGTGACTTTGCCTTGTCTTTGTAGCATGTGAGTGTTTGTTGTTTTGACCTCACCCGTGACTTCTCTTCTAGCTGGCAGCCTAGTATTTGTACCCCTTGCTTCTCCCATTGTGAAGCAGCCTGCGTGAGTGCTGAGAGCAGTGCTCCCTTCTTCTTCTTTCCTTTGTGTGAGAGCTGAGAGAGGTCCTAAGTGGAGAGTCAAAACTAGAGTTGTGTTGTAGCTTCCTCCTAGCGTGGTGTGTGAGAGTGTGTGTTGAAAGTAGGAGTGGGGAAAAATACCAAAATTTTGGTATACCGGACTTACCATATCAAAAAATACCGAATTTACCGAAGTGTTTGGTATACCGACACTTTTGGTACGGTATGATACCGCACCGAATTACTTCGGTATGATATCGGTATATATTTTGGAAATAAACGGTATACCGTTATACCGTCATACCGTAATTCCAAGCCAATAATTTCTTTAAAATTATAAAAATAACTAGAAACACAACATTAATTCAAGGATAATGACTTTATATCCATGTTTCTTGAATTATTTATACTTTTTGTTGGAGATCGATGTTATTTCAAATATATTTATGTTGTTTAAATTATTATTTTAGCAGAATGTGTTGTTATCTTCATATATCATGTGTTGAAGTATCCGTACATATTTATAATTTTTTTTTGTTCAAAGTTGAATAGAACACAAATAGGTTATCATTGGCATTTTATAATTAATTTCATTAATAATTTTAGTATATCACTATTAACAAAGATTTTCTATATTTCATTTGATATATAATAATTTGATATTAAATCATGATAATTTACCGATACCGTAGCTTACCGTACCGAAATTTTGGTATACCGAAACAAGGTATACCGAAATTTAGGTATGGTAACGGTATGTATTTTTGCATACCGAAAGTTTACGGTATGGTAAAGGTATGGAATAAAGTCTTCGGTATACCGTACCGAACCACCCCTACTTGAAAGACCTGACCGGGAGACGGAAGAATAGGGTCCTTACATCCCTTTTTTTAAGTCAAAACCTTTCTTAAGTTTTGCAAACACTCCCTGTTATGCGCATCGGGTTTTGCTATGCGCACCATCGAGCCGTAGCTGCTGATCACCGCGAAGATGACCGGCGCAAATGCCAGTGCGCCAACCAAACACCTCGCCGCTTGTTGTATATCGCACGAGTTCTACAGACGCGCTTCAGCTAACCCAAGCAGGATTGCAGTGATACACGCGTCCGGTGGTAGTCGGCTATTCCAAGAATTCCACCGCCTTCACTCTGACCAAACCTTTACCGACTTTGATGAGCTCGTGTCAGAGAAGAGGACTTCACATCGCCCTACAATTTACGAAGGCGACATATGCTTCACTTTTTCTGACATTCTATCAGCGGTTGATGCTCTCAGCGCTAAGCTCCGCCGGGTTCTCAACTGCACCGATGATTCACGTCTTATTAAACACGATGATTCAGGTATTCGCATTCCTCCTGCAGGCAGGTTATGCGTATTAGTTTACAAGTACCCGTTCAGCTGCAGAAAATGGTTCTTAAGCGGTTCAACGGGCCATGGAAGTTGTAAAAATCGATTCTTTGTTTAAGAATCAATTTCTTTCCTGGCTTACTTTTGTATATGAATATGACGTAATCCATAGTAATTTTCTTTGATTTGCATTAACTGGCAGTTTCCTTCATTTTAAGCTCTGGCTGCACAAACTTGTCTGATTAAAAGAAACTAGTTAAGAGACAGTACAAATACACTCCCAAGGCTTCGTCTTTGGTGCAAAACTGCAAATGGATCCTTAAGGATTTTTAGGGGCAATGCTTTAAACACTTTGCAATGGACATATAAGCACTTCTCTTCATGGACTCCAAGTGGATGTTGTTGCCATTTTCTTCCTGCCCATATACTCATGGAAATCATCAGATGTTCTCCATTATAAAAGTAAACTAAGAAGTTTATTTAGACATTTTTTTTAATTATTTATTTAGACAATTATATACACACGACAAGGAAGAAACAAAATATGATTTATCTCAAGGGTATGACCGTATGAGAGTTAAATGTTGTGAAAGTTGAAGCTGTACAGAATTTGTGAAACTGAGAAAGTGAGAACTAAAAAACTGCGAAAGTGAGAACTAAAAACATCAATTATGGTGTATGGATCATGGGGAGGTGGGGATGTAAGTTGACTTGTGTCTGAAAAATAAATTTAAGGTGAAATGCCGTGAAATGAAGCTCCAACCTATTAATTCGTCCAATACAGAGCTCTAGTCCCCTACTCCCCTCGTTTTGGCTTTGCTCAAGTTGGGTTCTTCAAAGGCTTCTCCAATAAGGAGAGAGAAAATGAAAGGAACATAAGTATCCGTTGGTGGGATAATGCATCTAGAAGTTTGTTTCTTGTCTGATGTGGCAAGATACCGTAATGCCCATTAAAACATGTTTATAATTCCTTTGAGAAACATTGAAGAGATATTTTTATATGCCCTCTAAATGAGTGCTTTGAAGGCTTATTTGCACCTCAAAAAAAGTTAAGAGCTAATCTGCATCGCAGAGAGAATGTACTTGAGATGTGTATTTGCAACTTTTCCCAAAGTAATTAGTTGTCAAAGTCTTGTTTTCTCATTCTCCTTCTCCTTCTTCTTTTCTGTTTTCTCTTTAACGGTCTTTGCCTGCTTCTTAGCTTTCTCAGTTTTAGCAGGCAATGACTTTCACAGGGATCAGTTAGTACAACACTTCAATGAATCTCAGAAGACGTATACTCCAAGAGTAATAGGAATATATATGGAGCCATCTATTGAATATATTGTTACTGTCCTCTCTGTACTGAGATGTGGATATGCTTTTATGCCACTGGAGCCATCATGGCCTAATGAGAGGATATCACAGGTACTATCTTCTTCAAAAGTGGACCTCCTTGTGGGTTGCGGGTCTCTAGTTAACAGTAGTTTTCACTGCATCGATAAGTTAGATTGGCTCATAGATGATGGAAGATGTCCTGTATTGCCTATATATATGGAAGATTACATCCAAAAGAATGATTCTGGTCCGTTGAATTTAGTCTGGCCATGTGAAAGAGAAAGGTTAAGATCATTCTGTTACTTGATTTACACATCTGGGTCTACTGGGGAGCCTAAAGGTGTATGTGGCACTGAAGCAGGTGAAACTCATAATGATTCATGTGCCACTTGGCACTCTTTATTCAATCTTTCTGTAAAAGTTATGACATGAACTCTATGCAGGTCTTCTGAATCGCTTTTTTGGGATGCAAGAATTGTACCCCTTACAAGTAGAAGATCAGTTGCTCTTTAAAACATCAATAAGTTTTATTGATCATTTGCAGGAGTTTCTTGGAGCTCTGCTAGCCACCTGTACGTTGGTTATACCCCCTTTCAATCAGCTGAAAGAAAATTTGTTTTATATTGTCAGTTTTTTGAAGGTAGATCTTTAAAACTAATGTTCTTAAAAAGAACTCTTTTTGACTTAGCAATGCATGAAGGAGAGACCATGCTCACATTTATCATTTATTTTCAAGTTTCCCTAGAAATCCAATGTATAGATACAAATATGTTTTTTTTGCCTATGCAGGATTACTCGATCAGCAGGATTATAGCTGTTCCGTCATTCATGAGAGCAATAATTCCTACACTAGAAAGTCTATATTTTAGGAGAATTCAAAGTTCTTTGAAAGTTTTAGTATTAAGTGGTGAAACTTTACACCTTTCAATGTTGAAGATCCTTGTTGAGCTACTGCCCCGGACTACTATTTTGAATTTATATGGGAGTACAGAGGTATGTTTAAGTTAATTTCCACCAGATAAGCACATTCAATTCTGATATATACTCATAGTGGATCTTCAAAAATGGATTATTTTAGACTTTTAGCCAATTAGTTCACAAGTAGCCACACCATAATCCAAGGGTCTCATATTCAGGTTTCTGGTGATTGTACATACTTTGATTGCAAGGATTTGCCTCTCATCCTGGAGCATGAAAATTTGAGTAGTGTTCCAATTGGCTTGCCCTTGTACAACTGTGATGTTCATCTTCATGGAGATGATGATCCCAATGAAGGAGAGATATGTGTGGGTGGGCTCTGCCTTTCAGCAGGATACTTTAATTATCCTTTTGTTTTGCCATTGGACTATGTAGAATTGTCTCAGGGATTTGATAGTGAGAGCACTGATCGTAGAGTTCAATGCTATTTTAGAACCGGGGATTTCGCCAGAAAACTTCAAAATGGGAACTTTGTTTTTCTAGGGAGAAAAGACCGCACCGTTAAGGTTAGTGGGCAGCGCATTGCTTTGGAGGAGGTTGAAAATGTTTTGACGGAACATCCAGAAGTAGCTGATGCCACTGTAATTTTCTGTAATGACAAGGGGGATATTTCACTCCTGGAAGCGCATCTGATACTGAAGGAAAACAGTGAACATGTTGTGACTTTGAGATCTATTATGAATTGGTTAGCTAAAAAACTCCCTCCGGCTATGGTTCCTGTTCGTTTCTTCTTCACTGATTCGTTTCCCATGTCTTCTGGTGGAAAAGTTGATTACAACCTATTGGCTAATAGCCGTGTATGCAACACATGTTTCACTAGTGAGATTGATGGAACTCAAGATCTTGACCTGATTCAAGCTATCGAAAAGGTTTCTTGAGTTTAAACTTAGAGATGCTTAACAATATTTTCTGATTATACCTCTATTTATTCATTTGCTTTCCAAAGTTATGTACTCCCTTTGTCCCAAGATAAACTTCCCATATTCCTTTGTAGGTTGTTCCATATTAAAATTCTCACATCATCCTAAGGAATTGAATGGCGCATATTGTTTTTTTTCTTTCCTAAATAAACCTCAACCACATAAGTTTATTTTCTAGATTCCCGTGTCGGAAGCAAGTTGGAAGTTTTATGGGATGGTGGGAGTGTACTAATAAAAGGTTTATTGATATCCACTGTTCAGTAGCAGTATAAGGAGGGTTTAGAGTGAATTGACAGTGCGTTCCAAATGTTATATGTGAGTTTTATTCTACTTCTTTAGCTCTTTTTTTGTGGAGGGGGGATGCTGCACAAGCACTAACATCCACTAAGTTTCTGTCTTTCTTATTTGAGTAGAACCAGGACTAATGCATTTTCACTTAGAAGCCTTAACTAGCTAGAACTTCTGTTTTTAATTGCCTTTATATAACATACATTTAAGCTTGAAGATGTGCATGAGCCAAAAAGTCTTAGTTGAGAGTGCAAGGTTCTTAGAACTGAGGCGATAGGATTAACTATTAGCAGGTACTAGATGATGGCATGAAGCACTATTCTCTGGCTAACATGGTGCAATCTACTGACTAATACCTTTTCCTAGTGGGTTATATGCCACTTCTTATATGGTTCTTCATTCATGAGGCATTATTGCATTGTGGGTCTTAATGTCTTTACTCTCTAAAAGGAATCTTATCACTTGTAGAAAGGCCTCACTGTGGTGCCACTATTTTTTCATTTTGATATTTTTAGTTAAATGTAGATGCTTTGTGAAATCTCTTTGGTTTAGAAGGTTACGCCATGTGTTAGATATGAGTCCTTAGAGTTTTGTTTGAGTGGAATCTTGGCTCTTCTATAGAGCTGTTGGCCATTGCTTCGTGATCATGATATTACGGGTTCAAGATGTGGCAACAGCCTCTTATACAAATATAAGGTAAGGCTCTGTACATGTGACCTTAAAATCCCAACCTTCCCTAGGACTTGCATAGCAGGAAGTATTACACTATTTACAGCTCTTGTATTTATAAGTGGACCGTTCTGACCATTTATTTTGAATTGTATACTGAATACTCAACACATGCATACATAAAACATGGGTTCAAGAGTAAGAATCAATGGGTACACTTTTAGGCTTTTAGCTCCTTTTATTTTTCATTTCCCTTCCCTGAGTTATGAGAACCATATTTGCATTTATTCAATGCTCGAAGTCTGTAAAGACTCGAAGTCTGTGTAGACTGTAGTGTGTACTACTTGAAGACTATGAAGCAGTTCCTTACAATTTCTGTGTGCAGGCTTTTTGTGATGGTTTAAAGGTTGATAAGGTCTCCCATAATGCTGACTTTTTTGAGATGGGCGGTAATTCTATCTCTGCTGCATATGTATCTTACACTTTAGGAATCAATATGAAGGAGTTGTATACTTTTCCAACACCAGAGAGGCTTCAGCTAGCACTTCTAAGAAACAAGGTTTCATTCAATCATGGTCTTGGATCAGGTTCTTCAAAAGCAGGGAATTATGAAGGGCCAAGTAATAGTAAGATTTTTTCTGCAGATTCAAAGGAACACAGTCATAATAGAAAGATACCGCTTAGAGGACATCCTTTTAAACGCATGAAGATGGATTCAGATTTGTACATTGGGTCTAATAATGTTGGTGCAAGAGATTCCTATTCGAGCTTTGATCTTATCAAGTGCTCATTTAGCCGATGCAATCATGTGAAACATGTAGAACAATGTGAGGGGTGTGAATGCTATAGTATGCACACACAGGAATTTCCAATTGATGGAAAATTTTCAATACGAGAGTGCTGGAAAGTTCACATGGAATCTTGTGTGGATGCTTCACCACTAGTTGTGCATAGAAAACGTGATGTGTACGTGTTTATAGGGTCTCACTCCCACAAGTTCGTTTGCATAGATGCCAAAAGGTAGGAATGATTTGGATGACTTTAGTTGAAGTGATCAAGTTATCATCTTTTTCCTACATTCAGAATTAGATTTTTCATCAGATTGAGCTTATCTATCATCAGTAAGAGCGGAATATCAGTAAGATAAAATTCGATCTGATAAGCTTGAGTAGTGAAGTGTTGATCCCAAATAAACCAGTACTTGAATGGTAAGCGTAACTGGGTATTTAAAACTATTTTCTCAACTCTCAAGACACTAAAATGACTTGGACTCTGGTATTTACCCATGAAAGCTGCACTGTAAGAAGAGGGCAACCTCTTAACATGTTGATGACCTACAAATTAGCAAGATGATACCAAAACTACTGCACTTAGAGTATGGTATGATTGACACTTAGCCAAGTTCACGTGGCTCTGTACTCATATCAGTATCGCCCGCTTAGTTCCAACTATGTAGGGGTCAGTAACCTGAAATCTGTAGTGTCAATTAGTTTAGTAGTCTAAGACCAGTCATACTATGAACTTAAGCAATAAAATAAAATAAAAAGTGGAAAATTGTGACGCCGAATGCCCTTCACGTTGTAACCTTCTTACCAAAGAATGATGAAATAAAATTTCAAAACCACCTTTATCATAATCTTTTGCATTTGTATGGCAAATATAAGGAGATGATGTGATGACTTGAGATAAAAGCAATAGCCATGCCCCATTACATGATTGATTTTGAAAAATTAATAATTCATATCATGGTACATGGCTATTGGCTTGTTTCACATATGAGGCTTCTAAATTGTTCATTGCTATGATTACATACTTATGTTTTTTGCTTAAACTAGTTTCTCTTACTTACCAGTGTCTAGTATGATGTTCAATTTATCACTGCAATCACCATCATCCTAATTCCAACTACATTGGGTTTGATGGCATAAATGTATAGTGCCAAATTTGCCAATTAACAATCTAAAAACACTAAAATTTCTTAACACTGATTCCACGCAAAAAGTCATATCAGCAAAGTTTTAAGTCGACTGTCCTTCTGGTCACAACCTTCTAAAGAAGAAACATTGAGATGAGATTCCAAAACCATTGTTATCATTGGTGTTTTTACTTGCACAAAAATAATGAGACGGTGATGAGATGAGATAGTTGCAACAGTAATGCCTTATTGAAGAATTGATGTAGAATAGATGTCTACATCATGGAATGTGACTGTATAGTGTTAAGGTTACATGTTAAGTATTTCCGGAATATATTTTGTATAATCAGTTTCTGAATTATTTGGTCCAAAATACCAGGTTACTATTTAGTTTAAATTCTGATTGTTAACAGTTAAAAGAAAGAAAATGCTCTTTTATTCTTTAATATCTCTTTGAATTTGAAAAGAACCTAGAATTATATAGTATTTTTTCCTTGCAAAAAGATAAAACCAATTGTATATTTTTTAATAGTAAAATTTTCTGTGATCTGCATAGCGGTATTGTTCAATGGATGGTCAAATTACGAGGAAGAGTTGAATGCTCAGCCGCAATTGTTGGTGATTTTTCTCAGGTTTTGACATTTGCCTCGATTTCATCATTGTCTAATTTCAAACATGCCATTCTACAGCTTCCCATTAACTAACATGGTTTACATACTTAATTCTGCAGGTGGTTGTGGGTTGTTATGAGGGGAATATTTATTTTCTGAATTTTTTAAATGGCAGCACCCATTGGAGTTACCAAACTTATGGAGAGGTATGAATAGGCCATGAGTCCATGACTTCTATTTTCATGCATGCATATGGTATGCGCTCTGCTTATATTTCTTCATTTAAGAATTCAAAATGATTTGACAGTCACAAAACCTGCTGATATATTTGTTAGTCATAAAAGATTTAGCTGTACAATGAGATGGCATGTCATTATTTTCTTCATTTTCAATTTTGAGGATTGGTGATTCAGGCAGATGGTACATGTTACTGTCTTTTGATACTTGTTCGGTACTTCGATTGTAGATTTTTAGGTGTAAGGCTTTTGTAAGAAATGTGAATCTGGTTGCCACATTTTTGTCACCCAAATTTACTCTCACTTTGTTTTATTGATTTAAATAGTTTTATTGCTCAGTATATCAGCAATCTAATTTTCTGAAATCCTCTTTTTGGTTTTGGATCCAAATTTTGAAAGGTCAAATCACAGCCAGTGGTTGACAAATCCAGGCACCTGGTCTGGTAAGATTTCATTTCCTTCTATTTTTGTTATTGTACAGTCAATTTTCTTCATAATTGGAATAATTATATTTCTTGGATCTATTTGGGTCTGTTCTGGACTTAGAAAATAATAAGGAAAGAAATCAGGAAAGCAAATATGTGCGAATTTTGGAAAGAAATGAAAAATGGGGTGAGGATAAAACATTGCTCCAAATGGAACAAGTTTTTTGATATTTTTCTTAAAGTTTTTTTTTATTTATCTATCCGTCCGTCCATCCATCCATCCATCCATTGCAGTGGATGTAATTTTCATATGGTGTGTTGGATGATATCGCAACCAAAAGGAAAAGAAAGATAAAAAAGTTAAAAAGATAAGCTATGTTAAAAAAAGATAATATAAAAAGAGATGGATATTCATAAAAGTGATAGAATAAAATGGATAAAAATAATATATATATATATATATATATATATATATATATATATATATATATATAAAGATAAAAGGATAAAAAACAAGAAAGAAATAAAAGATGAGGGGGTCATACAATTTAAATTTATTAAAAGGCCTTCTTAAGTTTTTTAGCAGGACTACTTAAGAAGGTAATACTTACGGTCATACTCTGCTCTCGTATGTTATTCTTCTTGATGAGTTTTATTCCTCTTATCTAGCAAAAAAATGGTATGCAGGTGTGGGTCACACGACCACAACCTATATGCTCTGGACTACGAAAACTATTGCTGTGTTTTCAAAATATCATGTGGTGGAAGCATATTTGGCTCCCCTGCAATTGATGAGGTGGGGGTTTGATTACTATTAATAGTAAATGCATTTATTTGTGTACTATTTAATTGACTCTGTTAAGCGAGTGAGCAAGGCTGTGAACTAAAGTATTTATGATTTATTTTTTTGTTCACGGATTGCACTTTTAACTGTGTTCCATCTCTGTATAGATGCAAGGAAAACTTTATGTGGCATCAACAAGTGGCCGGCTCACTGCAGTATCTCAGGAGGTGCTTTTCATTTTGTATCTATCTCATACTATCTTCAAGTTGATTTGATCAGTCAGCTTGGTGTAGTATCTAAGTAATACTTTACCATGCAGGCTCAACTATATTGTGTGCTATGGATAAAAGATCTGGGAGCCCCTGTTTTTGGGCCGCTTTCCATAAACACGTCTTGTGGAATAGGTAAGTTTTGTCATATGATCCTTATTTCTGGGTTTGTAAATTGTAATGGCAATTTTAGTCAGATTTGAAACAGTAAGCATCTATGGGTGTTCCAGTAAAGTAGGCTCACAGAGTTTATGTAATTTCATTTCAGAATGTCAAGTAGATATTTATTTATCTTAATTGTGGTGTTTTAGTGATATGCTGCTTAGTTGATGGAAGTGTACTTGCTCTGGACGTGAGAGGATCAATTGTTTGGAAGGTATTTTGTCCCTTTTTCAAGTAACATATGTGCTTTGACTTTGTGAGTAATTTATAATTTTCTTGAAGAATTGAAATTTGGTGAATTGCGAATAACCCATTCATGTCCATTTACAATGTTACCGCAGGGATTTTTGCTTCTAATATCTAGTACTTATGCTAGACATTTGCTTTGTTTTGGTGCATTTGGAATTTCGGAAAATGCATTTTGGATTCCTAATTGCGGTACATGGATTTCCATCATTTGCAATAGAGCCAAAGATTCATTATTTTTTTGGCTTGAGAATATGATGGAATAAAGCAAAATGACTCACTAAACTGTCTGTGCTTCTTTGTTATGAAGCAGCAGTCAGTCCATGCAATTTTGGACGCGATTTTCACTATGGGTCATCCGGAAAAAGTCTCTCTGTGCTTTAGTACAGGGGTAAGACTGCGTACATCCGACCCCCCTTACCCCACCGTAGGTGGGAGCCTTTGCGGCACTGGGGTAAATGAAAATAAAAAAATGAACTGCGGTACATGGACTGATTAAGACCGTTCTTTAACTCATGACTAATCAATGCTATGATAAAACATTTTCATCCCTTTAAAAGAGACCAGCTATGTGGTGCATTGATTATTGAAATGCATTCTTTTTATTCAACACTCTATTTGGCTTATTGGATCTTTTGGATTTTGACATTTAGAAATTGTGTATAATGTATTCTATACCATTTTAGTCATTATAGCTTTACAGCTTTTCTCCATCCTAATTTTTTATAAAGGTTTGTGTTCATTTCTTTGACTTTTCTTCAACCAGTGGTATTTGTAAGACACCCTTTCATTATGAATCAGGGAAGAACAGGAGGTCCAATATTTGCGGGACCATGCATGTCGCATTCATTGACATCTCAGGTCTTTCATGTAGTTTCTTTGAATATCCAAGTTGGCAAGTTCACTACTATACATGTGGATTTGTTAATGCAGCACTCCAAATTAGCATGCTTCTTGTGTAACTAAAAGAGCAATATCTTGATAGGTGCTTGTTTGTTCAAGAGATGGATGCATCTATTCATTTAACTTGGTATGCTTGGTTACCTTATGGAGTTATGATTTTCCCTTTCCTTGGCTGTTTCTGTTTCTGGAGATGGAAATGTGTTGGGTTGAGAGATAATCCTCTCATAAGTGTAGCAGAGATAGGGTTAAGCTGTTCACTTTTAAATTTTTAATTTTTGTGCATGCATTTGATATAGCATTTTAAGTAATACGTAGTATGATTTTTTGGGAATAAAGTAATACATAGGGTTGCAAACGAATCGAATCGAATACTTGACAATATTATTCGTATTCGTATAATTATCGAATATTCATATTCGTATTTGATTCGTTTGGTATATTCAAATATATTCGAATATTGTTCGCATACTATTCGAATATTCGTATTCGAAAAACATCAAAATTCAATTATGAAAATAATTAAAATTATAACGTATAATTTGCCCCTTTTACCTCATTTTGATAGTACATGTTTCTACAAGTCGCTTCTTGAAATATAATATCAGTATAAATAAATCAACCGCGAATTATAAATTTATAACTAAAATAAGATATTTTGACTTAGCAAAGTAAGAACATTTAAACTAAAACATGCAAAATACCTACTAGTTTTTGTACATAAATATTATGTCATTAATATTTTTACATTGAATTATATTTATTTATAAGGAGTAATATATATTGTATGAATATATATATTCAAATATTGTTCGAATAGAATATCATAGTATTTGTATTCGTATTCGTATTCGAAAACTATTCGAATAAAAAAACAGATTTATATTCGTATTCGTATTCTTCTTACTCAAATTCGAATAAACATTTTCGAATTTGAATCTCGAATCGAATCAAAATTATTCGATTCGTTTATAACCCTAGTAATACGTAGTATGTTAGACACTAATAAATGGTAGGGGAAGGATATAAAACACAGATTTTTTCTTTTCTTTTTTTTGACTCTAGGGGGTCTAGGGGAGGGGGCCTGGAGTAATCAGGGCTGACACTCACTCCATTGAGTTTCAAACCCGGGACCTCCCGTAAGGGAGAGTGAGTCGGTGACCTCCCGTAATATGGGTTTTCAGTGTTTGGTTTTACCCTGGAAAATGCAAAAAGAATTAAAATTTGATAAATAAAACTAAAAGTGTTACTGTGTTACCTATATTTAGATTTCGTAGTCGTTGTATCATAATAGAAATATTTCAATAAAATTAATATGAATGAAGATCTAAAATTGATATGCTGAGTTTGAACTTTTTTTTATCCTCCCACATTTTATTTCCTTCAATATTTCGTCTGTTTTCCTTCCTTTTTTTATATTACTTTTCGCAAGTTCCAAACTGACCCTTAATAATGTGGCAGAAAAACGGGAAATTGCTCTGGAAACACAGCGTTGAAGATCCCATCACTGCATCAGCATATATCGACGAGCACTTGCTACTGACACATGATCGCCAAACCCTGCCGCGGAGGTGAATCTGTAGTTTCAAATTTCCAATTGCTTCTAAAAGTCGATATATAGGAGAAAAGTAGCTAAAAGATCAGTAATGGCATATATGGCTTTACATTTTACAGGTTCATCTGTGCATGCACGAGTTCTGGAAGTATTCATGTGCTTCAAGTTGACTCAGATCGTAATAAGGCAGCAAGAAAGTCGTCCGGGGGAGATATGATCCAGGAATTTGCTAAATTGAAACTTGAAGGTGAAATCTTCTCTTCCCCTGTGATGATTGGCGGAAGCATATTTGTTGGATGCCGGGATGATTACTTCCACTGCTTAAAGCTCGAGATACAAGTTCCCAATTGAAAACCAAAGTCAATGCCTTTGTTATCATATGCACACGGTAACACATTACCGATTCCTTTTCAACTTTTAGTGTGTGTTTGGTTGGAATACTGGGGGGGGGGGGGGGGCTGTTCTTGGCGAGCAGGGGAGATCGGGCTACAATTTTATATCGTGACGAAGTATATTTTAATTTAAATTAGAACCTATTTTTCTTAAACACCAATTCCCCTCAGACTTGCAAATCGTTTTTTGAAATAAAATAAGAGAAAATTGGGTGTATATACACATTTAAATATAGGCCTTTAAGTTAATGTTATAGATTAGTAAAAATAAACTAGATAGCCTCTATTAAAAACTGTCGATGCACTTTGTCCATTGTAGCCTTATGGCAGGTCTCTCAACCATTAACGATCTCTATCAATCCGCAATTTCCTTCCAATCTTGCTAGCAATGTTGGAAAATCCATGTGCTGGACTTGGGTCCATACATCCTCATTTTGAAATCCATGGTGATGACTGATGAGAACAATCATCATAACAGCAGTGCTGCAGTGGCGGTCAGGGGAGAGGGAGTGCTTCCATCATTCTCAGGCTCCTTCCAATCTCCAAAATAGCGAAGCACGGATATAAACGACGAAGTACGTAGTTTGAGACGGCCTTTGCCTCAGAATGTTAGCACCAGATTACTTGGTGTCCATTTATGATACGCAGTATATAAAAGGGTATTTGTTATCATAATTAGGAAGAAGGGTTAGATATGGAACTTAAAAATTTACGGCTTTATATTAACAAGAAAAGTGCTATGTATTTAAATAACTGAAATTGAAGCTACTAACTTCACGTAGCCTATTTTTTAAGGTTATTTAGCATTTTTTCCCATAAAATAACTTATTTATTCTTTAAATGATACTACGTAGTAAAGAAACAAGTAATGAATAATTTAAGATTACAATGGAATGACACCGCGTATCCTTCTAGATCGCTCTAGTGTAATAATCTTCTTGCACTTGCTATTCCAAAAATAAAACATACAAATCTTTGTCTTCACTAGCCGCCAGAAAGGGAGAATTGATTTGACCAACAACTAACAAAGGAAATTCTACTAGGCAAGTGTTTGAATCGGTTTGACCAACCACTAAAAAGGAGATCCAACAGAGTGGCTATCCTTCTCCTGAAGTGACGAGGGTGGTTCACAAAGAAAGCGAGTAGTAATTGAGACCTCAAAAATACTAGGTTGAACAAGACATGCCAACTATGAAGAGTGGAAATTCACCTTTCCATCGATTACATTGACGAGACACACCACTTCTAGATATCTCTAAGGCCTTGGTTGGTTCAAAGGAGGGGAGGGAAGGGAAGAGTCAACTAAGTCAAGGAGAGAAGGAAAGGGAAATGGAAGGAAGGATTTTGATAAAAAATTTGTGTTTGGTTAGAGGAAATAGGAGGAAGGGTGAAAATATTTTTCTAATTTACCTTTATTTGGTAGCTTACTTAAAAAAAATAGATACATCTCTAACTATTGTGAATATTACTTCTAAGGTCATAAGTCATAATATATTTTTTTGAGTTTTTGAATTTTTACTTTTTAAATTTTTAATTATTGATTTTTTCAATTTTTAGTTTTTTATTTTAGAATTTTTCATTTTTGAATTTTCGAATTTTCAATTTTTGAAAATTTCAATTATCACTTTATTAATTTTTTTTTTTTAAATTTTCGAATTTTTAATTTTTTTTACTATAACATTTGGTCCATTCACGTCGGAGATGGATAGTTTGTGGTTATCAACACAATACCTCCGAAATACCCCTATTTGGGGTTGAGAATGGGAGGAAGTGAGAAAGTGGAGGATTTTGGAAGCCTTCGACTTTCCTCCTCTTCCCCCTATTTCCTTCAACCAAACACACACAAACCACTCACTTTCCTCCTCTCCCTTCTGAAACCCTCCAACCAAACAGGGACTAAAAGAACATATCTCACATTCATCTGGACTCTGAAGTGGATAAAATTCTTGGTCAAAGAAGAAGCCAGACCAAAATCAGACCGACAATATTGTTATTTATAACTCTGCTTTCCTAACATATCTTATCCTTGTTTCTTCTCCCTGTTGGAATATTAAAGGTAGAGGCTAAGTATTTTAGGACGTTAAGAAGATAATTGTGTAAGTAGGAAAAGCTTTTAGCTAATTAGAAGAGGATGGAAGAAGAGAGAACTTGTATTTTATTGCTTGAAGATTTCTTAGCTTGATGCTTGATTACAAATGAGCACAACTACATATATTTATACTACTTACCTCCTCAATAAATGGTGGAGAGTTCTCTAGAATTCTCCTTATCTAGAATACTCTATTATTAATTATTCTCTAGAATGCCTCTAGAAGTCTCACACTCTAGAAACTTTCTAGAACATTTCTCTCTAGAACACTCCTAATTATTTTGGGCTTTGCCCATTACAACAAACATCAATTATTAACTTAGCCCAAAATCAAGTTTACATTCTAACATCCCTCCTTAAACTTGATTTCCAACTCCGAGCATTCTTCTCAATCGCTTGAAGTCTTCATGCTTGAGAGGTTTTGTAAGAATATCCGCAACTTGATCTTGCGACCTCACATACTTCACTTGGACCTCCTTATTCTCGACACATTCACGAATAAAATGGTAGCGAGTATCAATATGTTTGGTTCGGTCATGATAGACGGGATTTTTTGCAAGTGCAATGGCCGATTTGTTATCAACATAAATCTTGGTTACATCTTCTTGCGGCATGTGAATTTCCTTCAATAATCTTCGAAGCCAAATGATTTGACATACACATGACGTGGCAGCAACATATTCAGCTTCACAAGTCGAAAGTGTCACAATGGGTTGCTTCTTTGAAGACCATGTGAAAGGCATATCCCCCATGTAAAGTACAAACCCGGTTGTACTCTTACGGTCATCAATATCTCCGCCCCAATCGCTATCACTATAACCAAACAACTTATAATCTTTAGAAGATGAGTAAGTCAATCCAAAGCTAATCGTACCTTTTAGGTAGCATAGAATCCTTTTGGCGGCCTTCATATGGATAGATGTTGGAGCTTCCATATAGCGGCTAATAAGTCCCACTCCAAAAAGAATATCGGGCCTCGTACATGTTAAGTAGCGCAAGCTCCCAACCAAACTTTTCAACATAGTCGGATCAACTTTATCTCCTTCATCAAACTTGGAGAATTTTGTCCCATAATCGACTGGTGTGTCAATCGGCTTGCACCCATCCATCTTAAATTTCTTGAGAATTTTTCTTGCATAACCTCCTTGGGAAATAAATATTCCTCTATCACTTTGATCGACTTCAATTCTGAGGTAGTATGACATAAGTCCCATATCCGTCATCTCAAATTCACGGCTCATTTCTTTCTTGAAAGCATCAAACATACTTGGATTGTTACCCGTGAATATCAAATCATCCACATATAAGCACACAATCAAAATATCTCCATCTTCATTTGTTTTTACATAAAGGGCATATTCATAAGGGCACCTTAGAAAACCATTTTCTTGGAAGTACTTGTCTATTCTAGTATTCCAAGCTCTTGGGGCTTGTTTTAATCCATAAAGTGCCTTCTTTAATTTTATAACTTTATTTTCTTGCCCTTTAATTATATAACCCGGGGGTTGTTCCAAATAGACTTCTTCTTCCAAATAACCATTTAAGAAAGCCGATTTTACGTCCATTTGGTACAATCTCCAATTATTTTGAGCCGCAATTGAAATAAGTAATCTTATAGTTTCTAAGCGGACAACGGGAGCAAATACCTCGTCATAGTCAATACCGGCCCTTTGCTTGTACCCTTTCGCCACCAACCTTGCCTTGTATCTTTCAATTTCTCCTTTGGCATTTTTCTTTGCTTTGTATACCCATTTAGTGTTGATAGCCTTGTGCCTCTTTGTGACTTCATCTCCTCGTCCATAGCATTTTTCCACTTCTTGTCTTCTAGCGCCTCTTGAACACCTATTGGTTCACAATCATTAAGAAGACAAACAAGAGTTATTTCATCCAAATTTTGTGTTACCTCATATATCTCTTGTAAGCTTCTATAACGGGGAGTTCTTTCATTTGAGCCTTCCTCGGTGGTTGATGGACTTCCTTGGATGGATGGTGAGTGAGGTGGAGTGTTTGGTTCTTGAGCCGCTTGGTCATCATGCTCCTCTTGTTCTTCATTTTCTTCAAAGAGCGGGAAGAAGTTGTAATTCTCATCTTCTTGAACACTCCAATCCCAAGAGGCTTCTTCATCAAATTGGACATCTCGGCTCACATTGATTTTCTTTGTGACGGGATTGTATAGCTTATATCCCTTCGAGTGTTTATCGTATCCAATAAACACAAACTTCTCACTTTTATCATCAAGCTTCGAACGTTTTTGATCCGGCACATGAGCATATGCTATACTTCCAAAAACTCGAAGGTGAGAAACATTTGGTTTCTTCTTTCGCCATGCTTCTTGAGGTGTCTTGTTGTCAAGACTTTTAGTTGGACAACGATTTAAAACATACACAGCACAATCAACCGCTTCGGCCCAAAATTCTTTCGGCATATTCTTGGTTTTTAGCATGCTTCTAGCCATCTCAAGAATAGTTCTATTTTTCCTTTCAACCACGCCATTTTGTTGTGGTGAATATGGAACCGTTAAAGGACGGCGAATCCCATTATTTTCACAAAATTCATTAAATTCATTTGATGTAAATTCACCTCCTCTATCGGATCTCATGGCTTGTATTTCATGCCGAACTTCCTTTTCTACAAGGGCCTTAAATTTTTTAAATGACCCAAAGACTTCCGACTTTTCTTTTAGAAAATAGACCCAAGTTTTTCTAGAATAATCATCAATGAAAAGAAGAAAATAATTATTCTTTCCATATGAACTTGGTTTAATGGGTCCACAAACATCGGCATGAATTAATTCCAAGGGCCTCTTAGCTCTAAAATTTGATTCTTTTGGAAAACCTTTTCTTGCATGTTTTCCTAAAAGACACCCCTCACACAATTGATTTGGATGATTTATAACTGGCATCCCATCAACCATTTTGGTTCTTGATAATAAATTTAAGCCACCAAAGTTCAAGTGCCCAAACCTTAAGTGCCATAACCACGAATCATCTTTTAAACATGAATGTAAGCATTTTGCTTCATCGTTTTGGATCTCCAATAAAACCATTCTATTTTTTGTCATTGGCACTTTGGTTATTAATCTTCCTTCACATCTTAGAAAAAGATTATTATCTTTTAGATTGATATCATAACCTTTTTCAAGAAGTTGCCCCAAACTTAAAATATTATTTTTCAAATTGGGCACATAATAAACATCGGAAATAAATTGGTGACTACCATCTTTTAGACGGATTAAGATGTTACCTCTTCCTTCCACCAACACCTTTGACTCGTCTCCAAATATGACTTTTCCATTGGCTTGCTTAATTTCCGCGAACATGGTTTTGTCGCCGGTCATGTGGTTGCTAGCCCAGGTATCTAACACCCACATACTCTTTCTTTCTTTTTCTTTAAGATCATGTGCCATCAATAAGGTAAGATCAACTTCATCCTTGATGGGGTTAAACTTTTCCTCCACTTCACAATAATTAGATTTGCAATTGGAAGCGTAATGACCAAATTTGTCACAATTATAGCATTTAACTTGTGATTTCGCATACCTTTGGTAACCGCCTCTTCCACGACCTCTTGTCGGCTTGAAGTGTTGTTTTTTCTCTTCTTCGTGTTCTTGGTGATTTTCACCATGTCCTCTTCCTCGGCCTCGACCTCGTCCACGGCCCCTAGCTCGCCCTCTTTGACC